TTTCCGAACCTAGCGTATAGAGAAAACGGAGCAGAGTTTACGACTAGTAAAACATGATAGTTACGTATTTGGTAGCAATGTAACTCATGTATAAAAACAGAGATTTGTGAAATTCATAAGCTAATATATTGATGCATTTATATTTGAAAATTTTTTAGAAATTGAACTATTAGTTTTCAATATTTTCTTTATGTATATGATCGATTTAGAATGAGAAACGAGTGATCTGTATGCTAAAATAATTGAGATAATGTCGCTGAAGAAAAAAAATAGGGCGTTACATACAATAAACCTTAAATTTGAATTAAGATATTATTTTATAACTTTAGGTTTACATTTATTTTAAATTTTAATAAAGCTTGAATTTATATATAATCACGTGTAATTACAATTTCGATTATAGGAGAGAACTGAACGAGGAATGGAGACTTGACGGGCGAGGGGGCCGCGTGATTGGCGGGCGATTTCCCCTGGGGGGAGCTACGTGTATATATATATGATTATTCCTCAGTCATGGGGGGCCCACACTCATATTCAATCATTAATTAGTGTGCATGTGCTTCCACCACAAAATTCCCCCGCTTATACTATTCCACTTTACTGTATTATTATTATTATTATTATTATTATTATTATTCAAATAATTAGATTAATTGATTTTATTAATTTAATATATAAAAAATTAAGTTCATAATAAAATATTTTAAATGTAAATTTAATAATTTCAATATTTTAAAGATAAATGTTTGTTGGTGATAATGGAAAAATTAAATGTGTATTTTCAGTTTAAAAAAATGTAACAATTATTCTTTTAATAATAATGAATATATTTATTAATTAAGTAATATACAGTATTTTAACATAATATAATTTGACTTCAATTCAAAAATAAAAAAAAATAAAAACTACTAAATTAAATTTAAGTAATAATAAATATGTAGTAAAATGATTTTTGTTAAATGATCCGTGACCGTAAGTCATATTGTTGATGAATGAGTCTGCAAACCTTAAAACCTACCCGTGACTTGAAAAGCTATACGGTGAAGAAATTAAATTTGACAATCTGCACTTTTTAATCTCTCTCTCTCTCTCTCTCCCCCTCATGAATTAAAGACATCTTTAGCTCTTCTACTCTATTTTGTACTTTCATAAAATGCCAGACCCAGTACACATTTTGCTGCAACAGGGCACATGAATTTGAACTGAATTTCTAGTACTTTTTTTTTTTTTTTTTTAAGCTGGAATCTCCAGTGCTTTTATGATATATATATACCCACATGCATACACACATATATATGTATATGTATATGTATGTATGTATCCCCCGAAACTCAATGCTCCAGATCAAACAATTGAATTTCTTGTGTTTGTTTAGTTTCTAGTGGCGCCGGTCACCACCTGCCACAGAAGAGCTCACCTGGGTTATTATATCTAACATGTATTAGAAGACTCTAATCTCGTGTGTGTGTGTATATAAATATATATGTGTGCGTGTGCGTATGTGTGTGTGTATACATTATATAAATGTATTCTCTCACCTTAAAAATGTGTTCTGAAACTTACTATTGGTGTGATCTTATTAATTTACTACATTTTGATTGAATTCCTACAAGTAGAACGATAATAAGGTAATGCTCATGAGTTTAACAAATGATAATCAGATCAAACAAGTATATATAATTTTTTTTTTATTTTCAATAATTATAATTAATTAACTATTTTCGTAAATTTTTTACTAGTTTTAAATGAAACACTAAATAATAATAATTTTCTTTTATATGGAGAGAAACTTAACTAAAAGTCAATTAGAATATTATATAATATCCTTTTTAAAAAAAACGAAAGTAGAACAATTACATGTTGTATGTAATTATAGGCTGTTTAACATTTGTATTTGACTGATTGGTCCTAGGAGACTTAAACAAATTCAATCATGGTGAATTTGAAGTCAACCCACCAATTAGATTTTCTCAAATTAATTAAATGTTTAATCTCAATTATTTTAAATTAAATATTTTTTTTAGTTATGAATTATTATGTTAAATATATTAGTATATTTAATGTACATCTACTGTATTGAAAATATTGTATTAGTTCATGATGGCTATAAACTAGATTAAGTTAACTACATGTCTGATGGTATTTACTTATAAAAAAGTGTAAATTAACCATAATATTATCTTATATAATTAATGAACACATTTAAAAAATTAATACACCGAATAGTAAATTATGTTATAATTACATACACATTTACGGAAATTATAAATTGATTCGTGACTCACACTTGGATTGAACATGTTGAGAATTAAGAGAGAGAGAAACGTGACAAGTGATAATTACTTTGGCATGTAATCTCAATATCTTGGTCATTTTTATTTTACCGTACAACTCGGCTCTTGATGTAAAATTCAAGTATCTACTCATCGTATCCCTTAAAAAATAAGGATTATTTACCACTTTGTCCGCCATAAAATTTGCTGATGTTCTAAGATTAATCTTTCGATGAGCAGACACTATTTGTTGTGGAATTGGAATCTCCGCCACAATTTCTCCATGATAATCCATAAATCCTATTGTCTTCTCGTACTTGAAACTTCCATAATTATGATTATCAATGGTGATTATCATTGCTATTGTTGCATTGATAGTTGTTGTGTTTGAATTGGTGTTGCTGCCAATTGTAATATTCTCGATTCCGATAAATTTCGTTGTAATTTCTGGTTGCCTAAGTTTGAAAACAGTAAGTGCTAAAGTAGTAAAGAATTAACAAAAAAACTAATGTAGCTGCACAACATATTATCAGACTCCTTGGAGAAAATTTTCTGGGTGCCATAATCGGGTAAGATGAATTTGTTAGTGATAGGTTTATGGCTATACATGATATATATATATATGTATATAGTTTGAATGATTGGGAATTAATTACAAAAAGTTGAATCTAATGATGTTGAATATGTTTTTGCTAGAAATCTGATATGGGTATCTTTTATTTTTACATTGTGGGGTTTGATATTTTTAATTGGGAATCAATGGAACATTAGTTTATGCCATTTTTTTGGCTGATAATTTGAATTGTGAAATGGGCTAAATCTAATTAGTTTTCGAAGCCCAGCTTTCTGTAAATCAAAATGGGTTGACGGTGTAAGCTTTTAAAATTCAATATATGCGTACATTATAGACGCAAATGTAACGTTTCAATAAATGATTCTTTCTTCATTTTCTTCAATTGTCATTATAAATTTATATAAAAAGAAAACAAATTGTTCGGAGGAAATAAACAATTTAAGTTGATGATAGACTTTTCTTTTTGAATAATAAAAAATTAATAATACCCTCGTAGAATAATCTTAGTGAAATGTAACTAAAAATTCAATCTTTATTGAGAGAAGAAAATAACAGCGGTACCGAAAGGATATTTGTTATTAAAGGAAAGCTGACAAGAAGAAGATCTAGTTGGGCGATCTGAAACAAGGAAAGCTCTTTGGTTCGTAGGATATTTGCTTTGCTGTGTAATTTAAGTTTACTAAATATTAAATTATGCCGGCTAAGAAAAACATTGCTGCTCCATCTCGATAGTAGTATGGTAACGCATAATCACAACCCTTTTCTTTTTATTATTTTTTTTTTTCAGTTTTTGTTTAAATTGATCTAATTTTTCTAGTTGCTTTCCTTTTCCTTTCAAAGTTTTGAACAGACTTTCTTCTCTCTGTGATTTGATCAAGAATCAAGATGAATGATCTGCTCACGGTAATTTTTTTTTTTTTTTTTCATGGTTTCTGCTGCTTCCTAATTTTGTTTATTTACTTCCGTGTAGTTCGGTTCTTGGGGAAGTTTAGGTCATGGGCAGTTATGTTTCTTTCCTTATTTGCATTTTCTGCTTGTATCTGTTGGTGGGTTCCTTATATCTTCGTATGCGGGGGTGATTGGGAGCTTAGAAAATTGTGGGTTTGGTTTGGATTCGCCACTGAAAGTGGTGATGATCACACTGAAAGTTGATAAAATTTCTGTGAACTGGCGTTGAATCTGAAGTTTTTGATTATTTCCTGTGAATTGATTCTTCAAAATTTTCAAATTGAATTGACTCAGAATTCTGTTTCATTTTCTCGGAATTTAGGATCTAAAATGAACTTTTGGC